TAGATTTAATAGTGGAACAAAGTGGAAGTTCTTGTAGCATTGTTTTTTCTCAGAGACAGTGTTATCAGCTGAGCTCCAGATAAGAGTTGGAGCAATAACTTAGGATAACACAAGGGAAAAGACATGAAATTGTGGAAAATAGAAGACAAGGGAGGGGCCAGCATTTTAGCCAGAACATTCCTGGCAAGTGTGATGTGCTGAGTTTGATTCCCAGTAGGAAAAAAAAAAAAAGACATAGAAAATGTATTATAATACCTTGAGATGTGTATTTTAGAGACCTGTTAGTACGTGTATTGGTCAGGACAAACTAGCTTTTTCTGTAGCAACAAATAACCCCTAAGTCTAAGTGACCAAAAATAGCAAAAATCCACTCTTTGTTCATAGAGAATGTCTACTGTGGCTTGGTGAGGGTTTCTTTTTAGGACCCACGTGTCAGGGATCAGAGAGGGTCGAGGGCTTTACCCTATGGGCAAATTAACAAGCTAGCTGACCATGATAAGGTAGATGATGGCAGAAGGTACTTCTGGATCAGAAATGAAGGACTTTATTACTCATAGAAATAGCAGTAGTCAGAGTGCTAATATTTGTGTCTGTTCTCCAAGTCCCAGTTTGCAAGAGCTATGTGAAGAGAGGCAGGTGACAACTGTTCACAAGTTGGGTTATGTCACAGAAGAATCCTGTACTTGGAAAGCCTAAGTCTTTCATGGGCAGTAACTGTGCCTTCTTTCTGACATCTTCCAAGGCTGAAGCAAAGCTACACTTTGAGCCAGAGAAAGACATCATCTCTGTTTTCCACAGCTGTTTCCCATACAGAGATTCTAGAGAGTAAATTCCACTGGTGCTTCCGCTTGGCCTGTGAAGAATTGCCCCCTAGTACCAAGCTGATTGGAATGAACCATCCCACGAACCCTCTGTTGAAACACATGGCTCCTAGAGTTGACGAGGCAGAGAAGAGAGACCTAGAGAGTGAAACAGAGCATCTTGCTGATTGGCCCCAGAGTGACAGTTGGTCACTTCACCCAGCCTGCTGGTCAGGTTTCTCCTAAGTGGTTCTGGTTCAGGATGTTGATTTATCCATGTGTCTAGGTAGAAGGGGAATTAGATATACACTAACAGTATCTACCACAGCACAGTTGAGTGTTCCTTTCCAGTAGCAATTAGCTCTTTGAATACAATAGTGTAGCATATAACAGTTGGATTTATCCTCAGAATTAAGATTCTGACCATCTGATTTGATGGGGGGGGAAGAGTGGTGAGAGAGGTAAGTGAGCTTGAGTAAAAGGATTTCATACATAGAAAAGCCATGTGCTATGGTCCCAAGTGTATGCTTATGGCCTCTGTGTTCAAAATGAGAGGTGTGGCCTGTATGATATAATTGAGTCATAAGGGCCTAAACCCACAGATCAGCATTCTTTCTAAATGACTGGGCAGAGGGAGTGTACTTTCTATTCTCTTCCATTCTGTGATGTGAGGGTTTGGCATTAGCAACAAACAACACCCATCTTGGAGCCGAGAGTGCCCCCACCAGGCAACTGAATCTGCCAGCACCTTGATGTTGGGCTTCCAGGCCTGCAAAACTATGAGAAATAAATCTCAGTCTTTATAAATTACCCAGTCTCATATATTTTGTTCTGAGGACAAAAAACTGACATTGTATTATCTAACTTATGTGTTAGTGGCATCATGTGCTCTAGTGGCACTAAAGATGAACATTATGGAATTGAAACAGGAAAAGAAGAGACTTAAGGACATAGGAATGATTCATCTGAAATCTTCACTAGTAGGTGGCCTCTCTAAAGCTTTTCTATTTCTTCCCATAAGCCATTCCCAAAAGTTCATAATCCACATTGCCTGGTACAGTCGCAGCAACAACCCCACTCCTGGTACCAAAATCTGTCTCAGTTACTTTTCACCCATTGCTGGGACAAAATACCTGACACCCAAAATTAAAGAGGAAAAGGTTTATTTAGCTCACAGTTTGTGGAGGTTTTAGTCTATACTTAGCTGGCTCCCAGGCAGAGTGGCACATGGCAGAGAGCAGCAGTTCATGGCAGCAGAAAACAGCAAAGAGCAAAGATAAGGGCAGCAGCTGCAGCTTCTAGTCAGCCTCTCTCCCCTCCTTATATTATAAACAAGCTACCCTGGGGCCGGTGATGTAGAACTCACACAATGTCCATGCTCTCCTCTTGCACAGGTTGAGGATGTTTATAAACTAAGAATTCTTGCTGTCTGCTGAGTCACTTAATTAAATTTCTAAACTTCTCAAGTTGACACAATGTATCAACCAATAAACTCCCCCTCTTCCTCCTCCTCCTCCTCCTGTTTTGAAACAGAGTCCCACCCTGTAGCCCAGGCTGCCCTTGAACTCATGATCCACCTCCTGTAGGCTCCTTACAATTACAAACTGGTGCCACCACACCCAGCCCAAGCCTCTCTTCTTGACCTTCAGAGATGGCCTGTTTCTCTCTGCTTTTCCACCTTCCTTCCATGTTCCTTCCAACATCCTCATCTCCTCTTCTTTAGGGACATCAGTCACACCAGTGTAGATCCTATCCATGTAGCCCCATTGTATCCATATCACATGCTTCATTAAATCACTAAGTTGCCCAGGTTGGGCTCCAAGCTGTGATCTTCCTGCTTCAGCCTCCCACACCCCTGACATGATAGGCATGTGGAACCATGCCAGGCTAAATTTCTGTAGTTTGAGCCACCCACTCTGTATTTTCTATTATGGCAGCCTCAGCAAACAAATATGTAATTGCATGCTTATTGTATCCCTTGGATCACTCTCCTCATCCCTGATCCTGTTCTTGTCACTATGCTGGGTGACTTCAACGTTGACGTTATGACTGATAATTATCCAAGTTTTGGCCTCCTGGTTCCCTTACTCCCTTGCCTCTAATAATTTTTCTCCCATGTAATCTCAACCCTCCGACTAGGTCAAAAGTCCACCTAAAAAGTGTGGACTTTTGACCTAGTCATTACTCAAACTAGGCTGCCTTTGAAATCTTCACTCCGAGAACCCCATCTTCTGACCACTACTTGTCCATTGCACTCCCACAACACTCTGACTCCAGTAATCCTGACTCCAGTAATCCAGCCTTGCTGCCTCATTGACTTTTGACTTCCAGCCTCCAGAACTATGAGAAAATAAATTTCTGGATTGTTTTCTTTTGTAGACCTAGGGATTGAACCCCGGCCTTCACACCAAATTCCATTCTCTGCCCCCCCTTCCTGTTTTATTTTCATTTTATTTGCAAAGATCCATCAAAATATATTTTCTTACTTTATTTTTTTGGTGGTTTAAATTTTATGACTTGTGCCATGTTTCCTTGATTCTTCTTTTTCTCCCCATCCCCATCCTCACCTTTCAAGCCCCTTTTCCCATTTCCATTCATAAAGCTCTATTTTCATTTTATCCTCCTTTGCTGATATTTTTCTTTCCCTTTCTTCATTTCTCTCTCCCCTCTCCCTAGTTCCTTTTCCCTTTTGAACAGTTTCTTCCTATTCCACCACGTCTATTGTACATTTTTGTTTTTATTTGCAATTTCAGTTTCTCACGATGAAGAGAAAACGTATTTACACACATGTCAGGTTTATTTCACTTACGATTATGGCTTCAGAGTCCATCCATTTATCTATAAATGTCTCAGTATTGTCCTTCTTTATGGCTCAGCTTGTATTTTTTAATTTTATTTTTTATTTTGGAGTGGGGGGGTCTCACTAATTTACTAACATGCCCAGACTGTCCTCTGATTTGCAGCTCTCCTGCCTCTGCTTCCTGAGTAGCTGGGATTACAGGTGTGCACCATTATATCCAGCTTCCTGTCTTACCTTCTTAAAGGCCCTGTTTCCAAACTCAAGCACATTCAGAAGTCCTAGGAGTTAAGATTTCAACGAGTGAATCTTGCAGAGACACAGTCCAGCCCATCTTCTTCCTTGAAGATATCCCTGCGTCTTTGACTTCATTGTTCTGAAGTGTCATTGGCCAAAAAAACTTCAAAAGCTTCTTAGCAGCACACCTATACAATATGGGTCCCTATATACCTTTTTTTATTTTTATTTTTCCAGTCCCCGGGATTGATTTCAGGATCATGCACTTGCCACGCAGGCACTTATTCTACGAAGCTATCTCCTTGGCCCTGCCTTTCTTTTTGAGATGGTCTATTGTTGATTCCACTTTTTTTTTTTTTTTTTTTTTTTT